GGGTTCAAGACCAGCCTGACCAAGATGGTGAAACCCCGTCTCCACTAAAAATACAAAAAACAGCTGGGCGTGGTGGCTGGCGCCTGTAATCCCAGCTACTCGGGAGGCTGAGGCACAGAATTGCTTGAACCTGGGAGGCAAAAGTTTCAGTGAGCCAAGATCACACCACTGCACTCCAGTCTTGGCAACAGAGCAAGACTCTGCCTAAAAAAAAAAAAAAAAAAAAAAAAAAAAGAATGTGATCTCAAAAATCAGGGAAAAATAGACATTTCTTCAAAGAATACGTACAGATGGCTAATAAGAATATGAACAGATATACTTAATCATTAGCCATTAGGGCACTGTGAATCCAAACCACAATGAGATACCATGTCACATCTACTAGAACAGCTATTTTAAAAGACAGACAGTAGCAAGTGTTGGCAAGCATGTAGTGAGTTTAGAACTGTCATGTATTGCTGGTATAGCCACTTCAGAAAACAGTTTGGCAGGTCCTCAAAAAGTTAAACATAGATTGACCATATGATTCAACAATTCCAAACCTAGGTATATACCCAAAGATAAATGAAAACGTATCTACATAAAACCTTGTATGTGAATGTTCATAGCAGTATTGTTACATGATAGTCAAAAAGTGGAAACAGCTAAAATGCCCATCAATTGAGGAACTGAAAAACAATATGTGATATATCCATACAATGGAATATCATTCAGCCATAAAAAGAAATAAAGTTTTGATATATACTACAATATGGGCAATCTTCAAAACATGCTAAGCTAAAGAGGCCAAATATAAAAGGGCACCTATTTTATGATTCCGTTTACATGAAGTGTCCAGAAAAAGCAAATCTATAGAGACAGAAATTGGTTTAATGTTTGTCAGGGGATAGGATAACAGGGAGTGACTGGTAATGGGTATAGGGTTACTTTCTGCGGTAACAAAGTATTCAGGAATTAGATAACAGTCATGGATACACAACTTTGTGAATATGCCATAACTCACTGAATTGTATTATTTAAAAGGGTGAACTTTATGGCCTGTGAATTCCATCTCAATAAAACTGTTATTTCATAAATCTCAAGGGAATAAAGCATTCAAGAAAAAATATCTAGAGGTTAAAATGTCAGTTGTTGCCAAAATGCCAAACTTCTATTGCAACAAATAACATTGACAAGAGAAGTTTCAGTTATGGGATGAGAATGCAAAAATACTGAGGAGTATGTGGGAAGTAAGAAAGTATAGACTCTGAGTATAAATAATACTTTCAAGAAATTCCCATGGAAAAAGCAGGAGAGAAATAGGGCAATAACTGGAGAGGATCTGAGGGAAAAAAACATACCTGGATGTGCTGTTTTGTTTTCATTTGGGCGGGAGAGAAACTCATGGATGACTCAGTGCTGACAGAGAAGATGCAGCAGTGAAGGGATACAGGAGTGGGGGAAGACACAGACTGCAGTCCCTTTGAAGTCAGGTGCTAGGGCTTGGAGTTTGAGAATGGCAACCAAAATAACTACTTTGAAAAAAAGAAGAGAGATAAGGAGGAAATAAAGCTGCTGGGTAGCTCTGAGGGTCTCCTTGAGGATACAGGCCTTGGATTGATGGTAGCACTCATCCATTCATTCTGCTCACTAAACACCTACACTGCCCTAGGGGATAGCATACCCAGTGGTATGCCCTTTAAAATTGCATATGTATTTATTATTCACTGGCAGCTTAGGGCTGGGGTTTTACAGACAGAATGAATTGGCAATACAGTGGGACAGTGTGGTGAGATTTGAGAGCTTTGGCAGGAGAGTGACTAAAGTGAATGTCCAAATTGTCTAGGACTGGGGTGCAGGGGGTATGGGGGAGAGAGAGAGTTTAAAAGTTGGCTAATAAAGAAGAAAGTGGAAGAGTGAAGCAACTAGAGGTCTTGATGACGTCAAGTAATAGTAAAAACGAGTGTGATATATTGCATGTTTTGTCAATGCTGTCGTGCTAAATATTATAGTTTATCTTATCCTCCCAACAACGACTATTAGTTTCACAGGAAAAACAGATGCTTAGCGAGATTAAGAAACTTGCTTGTGCTCACACATTCTGAACGTGGCAGAATTGCTCTTAGCCTAGGGCATCTGATGCCAGGCACTTGCTGCAACCATTGAGCTAGTTTGCAGCTACAGGTATTGTATAAGCAGCCAAGTGAGACAATTGGAAGGACAGAACTTGTGGTTATTAAATCATAATATTTTTGTTTAGGAAACTAGACATGAGCATTTCAAGTGATAAAAAAACCAGGCCTGCTCCATGAGATGTGGGGAGCAGAATTAGAATGGTGGGAAAGTCATTGAAATTATGGAAACAAAGTAATGTTTGAAGGCAGCTTTTGGATGTATTGTCCATCTATATGCTCAACTTTCTGGGAATGATGGCAGAACTTGGAATGGAGAGGAAGACCATGAATTAAACTGCTTGGAATTCTCTTTCATTTTCTCTCTCTCTGAAAAAAAAAAAAAAAAAAAGAAAAAGAAATATCTGCCCAGAATTTAATTAGATGCATCAAGATTTACCCGGTGGAAAATCAGAAAATCTGGTATAGTTGTAAAAAATTTTACATTTCTTGATGAAACCTCAGGAAAAACTGGTCTCAATCATGTTTGGTATTTGATGAAGTTAATGATTTTCTCAGTGGAAAACAAGATTTGATGCCAATTCATACTGATGGCGATAGCAATGATTCACAGAGACATATGGAGTCTTTTTTTATTCCCAAAGCTATCAAAAATATCAGGGACACTCTAGTCCCAAGTCTTATCACTTGTTCCCTTTTCGTGGAACATTCTTCTCTCAGACATCTGTATAGATCACTCACAACTTCCTTCAGATCTCTGCACAAATGTTATCTTCTTAGAGAGATCCCCGATCTCCTTTACAAAATGTTACCAAGCCCTCCCCTCAGCAGCTGCTAACCCCTGCAATTACTTTACTTTTCTTCATTACATTTCTTACCATGTGACATAATTTGTGCTTGTTTATCGTCTGTCTCTTGCACAGGGCCGCATGCTCCACAGGGGCTGGGACGTGGTCAGCTTTGTTCACTCCTGTTTTCCACAGCACCTAGAACAGTGTCAGGCACTGAAAATACAGATTTGCTGAATGAATGTTCCATCTGTGTACAACACAGACTTTTGTCTGAGGATCTCCAGAAGAGGAGGGCGTATGTTTCCTGCGTTATTTTTCTTCACTGTTCATTCCTAGCTACTGCTTAAGGCTTCTCACGCATACTTCTGGCCTTGCCATTACCACGCTGCAAGCTGCTGTCCTCTCCCCATACTGCTTTGCCTCAAGCATAAAGCCCATTTATTTCCTTCTCTAAGGCTATACTAACATGTTTTACTAAATATGTGAGGCTCTCATAGAAGTAAGTTTATATGATTATATGTTGGCTCAGCATTAATTCTGAATACAACTTTATCTTACCAGAAGCAAGATTCAGTGGCCCTTGACGGTTTCCAGTTCTACACCACACCCAGCTGGCTCAAGCGGTGGCCAGAGATAAGAACCTAGACGCGTCTATCCCACTTAGCAGGCTGGGATCCCTGCTTTCCTGCTTCCTTTAAACAAACCATTCAGGCATTTGATGCAGACTTAAAGTGACCCACATTCTATTCCTTTCTACATACTGCCACTGGCTACACACACTCTCTCTCTCCCTGCCTGACTCTTCGTTGCTGCTTGCGGGGGATGGAGGCTGACTTCTCCACTTATTACACCCTCTCTTCCCGGGATCTGTGAGTAAAAATATTTGAACTTGTTTCCTACTGTGATGGTGTATTGAATTTGCGCCTTCCATCTGAAGAACCACGGGCTGCCCCAGGCCATTTTCCTCAGGATTCCAGGGAGAACATAAAAGCGAGCTCCCAGTGCCAGAGCAATGGTCAGGCAGGCATAGACTGGACACGGGTCAGACAGGAGCCACAAGGGCATCTGCCAGGATAAACAAGTTTCCTATGTGAGGGCTTCCCTGATCTTGGGTCAAACAACTAGGCATGAGGCCATCTGCCAGCCAATAAAAGGATCCTGCAAAAGGCACGCTGGACACACCCACATCCATCTCTACATTTTTTTTTTTCCTGTTAGAGCAGGATTGCTAGTGGTTCTGATGCCAGAACCCCAACCTCACAGGGGGCTTGCAAAAGACTCATAAGAGGATACAAAGCAGAAAAAGGAAACTGGAAACTTGGTTAATTTGTCATTATCTGTCACAAGAGGTTCCTTGCTAGTTCTTCTCTTGACTCCAGCCATCCCATGGGTTGATGCAGTCTGTGGTCTGTTCTTCCTCACATCAGAACCTCTCTTACCCGTGAATGCTGAACCCAAAGAAGACAAAAGAACCACAGTTTTCTTTGGCCAGAGAGATGACAAATTAAAATTCCCCAGCGTTAGAAAAAAACATTAGGAGAAATACCTAATATAGGTGTTGGGAGGATGGAGGCAGCAAACCACCATGGCATGTGTGTACCTTTGTAATAATCCTGTAAGATCTGCACCCCAGAACTTGACGTAAAAAAAAAAAAAAAAGAAAAGCAAATCAACAAACTTTCATTGCCCAAAGACATCACCAAATTTCTTCACTACATTATCTTACTTGCAATTACACTACAAATTAGTTCCAAGAACTTTAGTTTTCCATAAACTAAACAGAGTGATTTTTGAGCATTTATTCTACCTCAATACAGTTTCCTCTCCATCACACCTCTCTCAGAATTTTCAAATGTTATCCTTCAGTATCCTTGAGGGATTGGTTCCAGCAACCACTACGGATGCCCAAATTAATGGATGCCCAGCTCCCTTATATAAAGTAGTGTAATATTTACATGTAACCTACACACACCCTCTTGTTTACAGCTGATACTTGAACAACATGGGTTTGAAGTGCATGGGTCCACTTATACTTTTTCTTCCTCTGCCACCCCTGCGACAGCAACACCAAACCCCTTTCTTTCCTTCTCCTCCTCAGCCTACTTCACCTGAAGATGATGAGGATGAAGATGATCCACTTCCACTGAATAAATAGTAAATACAGGAGCTGAGTGTGGTGGCACATGCCTGTAGTCCCAGCTACTCAGGAGGCAGAGATAGAAGGATTGCTTGAGGCCAGAAGTTCGAGTCCAGCCTGAGTAAGATAGTAAGAACTTTCTCTCTTAAAAAAAAAAGTATTTAAAGTATATTTTTTATTCTTTATAATTCTCTTAATGTTTTCTCTAGCTTACTTTATTGTAGAAATACAGCATATAATATATATGACATGCAAAATATGTGTTAATTGACTGTATTATCAGCAAGGCTTCCTGTCAACAATTGGATAATAGTTAAGCTTTTGAGAAGTCAAAAGTTAAACACAGATTTTTGATTGTGTGTGTGCGGGATTGGCATCCCTAATCCTCACATCGTTCAAGCATCAAACAATATTTTAAATCATTTCTAGAGTACTTATGATATCTAATACAATGTAAATGCTCTGTAAATTATTGTTATACTGTATTGTTTTTTATCGGTATTATTTTATTTTGATATACTTCTTTCTAGTATTTTTGATCTGCAGTTGGTTGGAGGTGCAGATGTGGAACCCTCAGCTAGGGAGTGCTGACTGTTTCAAAAACAACCTTAGTGCACATGCTCTCTCTTTTTCTCCAATAAAAGAATCACCCTGCCTGAGTGCAGAATTGAGGGTACTAAGGAGTAAAATCAGAGGCACAGAAAAGAATGTAGCAATTGTAATAGCCAGTAATAGATGGCATTGGCTTGAACAAGAGTGATTGATGGCTATTGATCGATATGGAGAGAAGTGGATACATTTGACAGGTATTTAGGGGGTTTGATACATAGGAGTTGGAAAGTGAGTAGATGTGGGATCAAGGCTGAGGGACACCCACAGGCCTTGATTCCTGATTTGGCTAACTTTTGATAAGGTTTCAATATTTCCAATTCAAGTGTTCTCGTTTGAAAAAAGGCTACCAATTCAACGTAAACCTTTATATTTGTTGGCTTCATGTTTCTAGGCTTCATGTTTCTATTCCTGTACACCTTCCAACACAGCAAAGATTGTGGCTTTCTTATCCAACTTCAAAGATAAAAGCAAAATCAAAAGATATAGAAGCATTTTTTTTTTTTTTTTTTTTTTGAGACGGAGTTTTGCTCTTGTTACCCAGACTGGAGTGCAATGGCGTGATCGCAGCTCACCACAACCTCTGCCTCCTGGGTTCAGGCAATTCTCCTGCCTCAGCCTCCTGAGTAGCTGGGATTACAGGCACGTGCCACCATGCCCAGCTAAATTTTTGTATTTTTAAGAGAGACGGGGTTTCACCATGTTGACCAGGATGGTCTTGATCTCTTGACCTCGTGATCCACCCGCCTCGGCCTCCCAAAGTGCTGGGATTACAAGCGTGAGCCACCGTGCCTGGCTAGAAGCATCTTTAAACCCTTTATAACCTCGGAAACTTTTTGCAGTTTAATCATGCACAAACAATGATGGATTTCTTTAATCATAAAGCAGAAACGTTTTATTTATTTTGTCAATAGAAAACTCTTCTAGACCTTGTAATATGTTTTTGATGGTGATTGATCATATATACTAAGCAACATAGACCATTTGATATGAGGCAATATTTTTAAAATTATGTTTTAAGTTCTGGGATACACGTGCAGAATGTGCAGGTTTGTTACATAGGTATACACATGTCATGGTGGTTTACTGCGTCCATCACCCCATCATCTACATTAGGTATTTCTTTTAATGCTATCCTTCCCCAATCCCCCCATACCTCTACAGGCCCTGGTGTGTGATGTGTCCACATGTTCTTATGGTTCAACTACTATTTATGATAAGAACATGTGGTGTTTGGTTTTCTGTTTCTGTGTTAGTTTGCTGAGAATGATGGATTCAGCTTCATCCATGTCCCTGCAAAGAACATGAACTCATCTTTTTCATGGCTGCATAGTATTCCATGGTGTATGTCTGCTACATTTTCTTTAGTCTATCATTGATGGGCATTTGGGTTGGTTCCAAGTCTTTGCTATTGTGAATGCAATCAATATATGTGTCCATGTGTCTTTATAGTAGAATTATTTATAATCCTTTAGGTATACACTCAGTAATGGGATTGCTGGGGCAAATGGTATTTCTGGTTCTAGATCCTTGAGGAACCACCACACTGTCTTTCACAATGGTTGAACTAATTTACACTCCTACCAATAGTGTAAAAGTGTTTCTATTTCTCCACATCCTCTCCAGCATCTGTTGTTTCCTGACTTTGTATTGATTGCCATTCTAACTGGCATGACATGCTATCTCATTGTAGTTTTGATTTGCATTTCTCTAATGACCGGTGATGAGCCTTTTTTCATATAGTTTGTTGGCCACATAAATGCCTTCTTTTGAGAAGTGTCTGTTCATATCCTTCGCCCATTTTTTTGATAGGGTTATATTTTTTTTCTTGTAAATTTGTTTAAGTTCCTTATAGATTCTGGATGTTAGCCCTTTGTCAGATGGATAGATCACCAAAAGTTTCTCCCATTCTGTAGGCTGCCTGTTCACTCTGATGATAATTTCTTTTGCTGTGCAGAAGCTCTTTAGTTTGATTAGATTCCATTTGTCAATGCTGGCTTCTGTTGCCCTTGCTTTTGGTGTTTTAGTCATGAAGTCTTTGCCCATGCTTATGTCCTGAACGTTATTGCCTGGGTTTTCTTATAGGGGTTTTATGGCTTTAGGTCTTATATTTAAGTCTATAATCTGTCTTGAAGTAATTTTTGTATAAGGTATAAGGAAGTGGTCCAGTTTCATTTTTTTGCATATGGCTAGCCAGTTTTCCAATAAAAATCATTTATTAAATAGGGAATAGCCAGTTTTCCAATAAAAACCATTTATAAATTAATAAAAACCATTTATTAAATAGGGAATCCTTTTCCCATTGCTTGTTTTTATCAGGTCTGTCAAAGATCAGATGGTTGTAGTTGTGTGGTGTTATTTCTGAGGCTTCTGTTCTGTTCCATTGGTCTATATATCTGTTTTGGTACCAGTACCATTCTATTTTGGTTACTGTAGCCTTGTAGTGTAGTTTGAAGTCAGGTAGCATTAAGCCTCCAGCTTTGTTATTTTTGCTAAGGATTCACTTATCTGTATGAGCTCTTTTTTAGTTCCATGTGAAATTTAAAGTAGTTGTTTGTAATTATGTGAAGAAAGTCAATGGTAGTTTGATGGGAATAGCACTGAATCTATATACTATTTTAAGTAGTATGGCCATTTTCATGATACCAATTCTTCCTCTTAATAAGCATGGATTTTCCTCTGTTATTTCCTTGAGCAGTGGTTTGTAGTTCTCCTTGAAGAGGTCCTTTGCATCCCTTGTAAGTTATATTTTTAGTTATTTTATTCTCTTTGTAGCAATTGTGAATGGGAGTTCACTTATGATTTGGCTCTCTGTCTATTATTGTTGTGTAGGAATGATTGTGATTTTTGTACATTGATTTTGTACCCTGAGATTTCTCTGAAGTTGCTTATCAGCTTAAGGGGTTTTTGGGCTGAGACAATGATGTTTTCTAAATATGTAATCATATAATCTGCAAAGAGAGACAATTTGACTTCCTTTCTTCCTATTTGAATATGCTTTATTTCTTTCTCTTGCCTAATTGCCCTGGCCAGAACTTCCAATGCTGTGTTGAATAAGAGTGGCAAGAGAGGGCATCCTTGATTATTCTGGTTTTCAAAGGGAATGCTTCCAGCCTTTTCCTATTCGGTATGATATTGGCTGTGGCTTTGTCATAAACAGCTATTATTATTTTGAGATACTTTCCACCAATACCTAGTTTATCAAGTGTTTTTAGCATGAAGGGGTGTTGAATTTTATTGAAGGCCTTTTCTGCACCTATTGAGATAATCATGTGGTTTTTGTCATTGGTTCTGTTTATGTATGTGATGGTTTATGTTTGCTGATTTGCATATGTTGCACCAGACTTGCATCCCAAGGATAAAGGTGACTTGATCATGGTGAATAAGCTTTTTGATGCGCTGCTGGATTCGGTTTGCCAGTTTTTTTATTGAGGACTTTCGCATCAATGTTCATCAGGGATATTGGCCTGAAATTGTCTTTTGTGTGTGTGTGTCTCTGCCAGGTTTTTGTATCAGGATGATGCTGACCTAATGAAATGAGTTAGGGAAGAGTCCCACTTGTTCTATTGTCTGGAATTGTTTCAGAAGGAATGGTATCAGCTCTTCTTTGTACCTCTGGTGGAATTCAGCTGTGTATCTCTCTGGTCCTGAGCTTTTTTTGGTTGGTAGGCTATTAATTACTGCCTCAGTTTCAGAAGTTGTTATTGGTCTATCCAGGGATTTGACTTCTTCCTGGTTTAGTCTTAGGAGGGTGTATGTGTCCAGGATTTTTTCTGTTTCTTCTAGATTTTCTAGTTTATTTGTGTAGAGGTGTTTATAGTATTCTCTGACAGTAGTTTGTGTTTGTGTGGGATCAGTGTTGACATCCCCTTTATCATTTTTTATTGTGTCTATTTGATTCTTCTCTCTTTTCTTCTTTATTAGTGTGGCTAGCAGTCTATCTATCTTGTTAATCTCTTCAAAATACCAGCTCCTGGATTCATTGATTTTTTTGAAGGGTTTTTTTGTGTCTCTAACTCCTTCAGTTCCACTCTGATCTTAGTTATTTCTTGTCCTGCTAGCTTTTGAATTTGTTTGCTCTTGGTTCTGTAGTTCTTTTAATTGTGATGTCAGGGTGTCAGTTTTAGATCTTTTCCACATTTTCATGTGAGCATTTTAGTGCTATAAATTCCCCTCTAAAAACTGCTTTAGCTGTATCCCAGAGATTCTGGTATGCTGTGTCTTTTCTCTTATTGCTTTCAAAGAACTTATTTATTTCTGCCTTAATTTCATTATTTACCCAGTAGTCGTTCAGGAGCAAGTTGCTCAGTTTCCATATAGTTGTGTTCCATTTGATCCTGTGCAGCTTTGAGTGAGTTTCTTAATCCTGAGTTCTAATTTGATTGCAGTGAGAGACTCTTTGTTATGATTTCTGTTCTTTTGCATTTGCTGATGAGTATTTTACTTCCAATTATGTGGTCAATTTTAGAATAAGTGTGATGTGGTGCTGAGAAGAATGTGTACTCTGCTGATTTGGGATGTAGAGTTCTGTATATGTCTCCTAGGTCCACTTGGTCCAGAGCTGAGTTCAAGTCCTGACTATCCTTGTTAATTTTCTGTATCATTGATCTGTCTAATATTGACAGTGGGGTGTTAAAATCTCCCACTGTTCTTTCATGGAAGTCTAAGTCTCTTTGTAGGTCTCTAGGAACTTGCTTTATGAATCTGGGTGTTCCTGTATTGGATGCATATATATTTAGGATAGTTAGCTGTTCTTGTTGCATTGATCCCTTTACCATCATGTAATGCCCTTCTTTGTCTTTTTTGATCTTTGGTGGTTTAAGTTCTGTTTTATCAGAGACTAGAATTGCAACCCCTGCTTTTTTTAGATTTGCATTTGCTTGGTAAATCTTCCTCCATCCCTTTATTTTCGCCTATGTGTGTCTTTGCACATGAGATGGATCTCCTGAATATAGCACACCAATGGGTCTTGACCTTTTATCCAATTTTTCAGTCTGTGTCTTTTAATTCAGGTATTTAGCCTGAATTAAACATTTAAGGTTAATATTGTTATGTGTGAATTTGATTCTGTCATCATGATGCCAGCTGGATATTTTGCCCATTAATTTATGCAGTTTCTTCATAATGTCGAGAGTCCTTACCATTTGATATGTTTTTGCAGTGGCTGGTACAGGTTTTTCCTTTCCGTATTTAGTGCTTCCTTCAAGAGCTCTTGTAAGGCAGGCCTTGTGGGTACAAAATCCTTCAGCATTTGCTTGTCTGTAAAAGATTTTATTTCTCCTTCATGTATGAAGCTTAGTTTGGCTGGATATGAAATTCTGGGTTGAAAATACTTTTAAGAATGTTGAATATTGGCCCCCCACTCTCTTATGGCTTGTAGGGTACCTGCAAAGAGATTCTCTGTTAGACTGATGGGCTTTCCTTTGTGAGTAACTGGACCTTTCTCTCTGGCTGCCCTTAACATTTTTTCCCTCATTTCAGCCTTGGTGAATCTGACGATATGTGTCTTGGGGGTTGCTCTTCTTGAGGAGTATCTTTGTGATGTTCTCTGTATTTCCTGAGTTTGAATGTTGGCCTGTCTTGCTAGGTTGGGGAAGTTCTCCTGGATAATATCCTGAAGGGTGTTTTCCAACTTGGTTTCCTTCTCCCTGTCATTTTCAGGTACACCAATCAAATGTAGGTTTGGCCTTTTCACATAGTCCCATATTTCTTGGAGGCTTTGTTTGTTCCTTTTCATTCTTCCTTCTTTTTTCTCTAGTCTTGTCTTCACACTTTTTTTCATTAAGTTGATCTTCAACCTCTGATATCCTTTCTTCTGCTTGATAAATTTGGCTATTGATCCTTGTATATGCTTCAAGTTCTCATGCTATGTTTTTCAGCCCCATCAGGTCATTTATGTTCTTCTCTAAACTGAGAATAACTCTAAACTGAGAATAACTAGTTATTCTAGTTAGCATTTTGTCTAACCTTTTTTCAAGGTTCGTAGCTTGCATTGCATTAGAACATGCTCCTTTAGGTCAGAGGAGTTTGTTATTACTCACCTTCTGAAGCCTACTTGTTTTAATTCATCAAACTCATACACCGTCCAGTTTTGTTCCCTTGCTGGTGAGGAGTTGTGATTCTTTGGAGGAGAAGAGGTATTCTGTTTTTTGTAATTTTCAGGATTTTTGTGCTGGTTTTTCCTCAACTTCATGGATTTCCCTACCTTTGATCTTTGATGTTTGTGATCCTTGGATGGGTTCTTTTCGTGGGCATTCTTTTTGTTGATGTATATGTTATTGTCTTTGTTATTTTTCCTTCAACAGTCAGGCCCCTTTGCTGCAGGTCTGCTGGAGTTTTCTGGAGGTTCACTCCAGACCCTGTTTGCCTTGGTACTACCAGCAGAGGCTGCAGAACAGCCAAGATTGCTGCCTGCTCCTTCCTCTGAAAGCTTCATCACAGAGGGGCACCTGCCTGATGCTGGTCAGAGCTCTCCTGTATGAGGTATCTGTTAACCCCTGCTAGGAGGTATCTCCCAGTCAGGAGTCACAAGGGTCAGGGATCCACTTGAGGAGGCAGTCTGCCCCTTAGCAGAGTTTGAGTGCTGTGCTAGGAGATCCGCTGCTCTTTTTAGAGAGCAGGTAGGAACGTTTAAGTCTGCTGAAGCTGTGCCTGTAGTTGCCCTGTCCCCCAGGTGCTCTGTCCCAGAGAAAGGGGAGTTGTATCTATAAGCCCCTTACTGGGACTGCTGCCTTTCTTTTAGAGATACTCTGCCCAGAAAGGAGGAGTCTAGAGAGGCAGTCTGTCTATAGAGGCTTTGTCAAACTGCAGTGGGTTCCATCCAGTTCAAACTTCCCAGAGACTTTGTTTACACTGTGAGAAGAAAACCGCCTTCAGGTAATGGCAGATGCCCCTCCTCCCACTAAGCTTGAGAGTCCCAGGTTGACTTCATACTGCTGTGCTGGCAGCAAGAGTTTCAAGACAGTGGATCTTAGCTTGCTGGGCTTTGTGGGACTGGGATCTGCTGAGCATGACCACTTGGCTTCCTGGCTTCAGCCCCTTTTCTAGGGGAGTGAGCAGTTCTGTCTCACTGGTGTTCCAGGGACCACTGAGGTACAAAAAGAAAAAATTCCTGCAGCTTGTTTGGTGTCTGCCCAGATGGTTGCCCAGTTTTGTGCTTTAAACCCAGGACCCTTGTGGTCCAGGCACCCAAGGGAATCTTCTGGTCTGTGTATTGTGAAGACCATGGAAAAAGCAGAGCTTATGGGTCAAATAGCATTATCCCTCAAGGTGCAGTCTCTCACGGCTTCCCTTGGCTAAGGGAGGGAGTTCCCCAACCCCTTGTGATTCCAGGTTGAGGTGCTGTCCCACCCTGCTTCAGCTTGCCCTCTGTGGGCTGTACCTACAGTCTAACCAGTCCCAGTAGATGAGCTGGGTACCTCAGATGGAAATGCAGAAATCACCTGCCTTCTGTGTTGATCTTTCTGGGAGCTGCAGACCGGAGCTGTTCCTATTTGGCCATCTTGCTAGCCACCTGATGTGAGGCAATATTCTTGTAATACAGTAACAGTTTTTAGTTTACAAAGATGTATTTCAAAATAACATAAACAATAAATCTTTTAAAGTATTTCACTGACCCCTTGAAACAGTTCACAGACCTCCTGTTAGAACTTCTGATTTCTAAATAAGGCAGAAGATGAATTGTTCTGAGAGATTGAATAGGTAAGGATTAATCAGACTGGGATTTCAGAGAACACAGCTGAATGATTTGGGAAGGTGTGGAACAGTGGGACATGGGTTAGTAAAAACAAGTAGCAAGCAGTTTTGGGTTTGCAGGACTGAGTAAACAAGAAGGCTTAGTTTAGCATCTAACAAAGATGGAGTATGAAGTAGCTAATTTGAAGATTGTCACACAATTCATCCCAGACATTCTCTCATTGATGGGGAATGGTTTGCATCTCAGAAGGTATGGAGGACTTGGATTGATTGCAACCCCAAAGAGCTCTAGTCTCTTACATATAGGAACCTGGCCCTGTGAAGGGAGTGAGCAAGAATTCATATGGATATGGATTGTGGAAGCCGCTAACCTCCCTTGGAAGCATTCAGTTTTTAATTGTTTCATGTTTATTTTAATATTTCACCTTGGTATCAGTACTCTCTTTTAAGGAAATAAAGAGGAAACACATTGCTCCTTGTTTTTACTAATTGGGAAACAAGATATATGAATTCCTTAAAAGAAATTCTCAGCCCTAGAGCCTGAAAAAAAAAGGAAAGAAAAAACAAAAAGTAATTCAACCCCATTCTCCTTTCATAACTGTTATTAAAGTGCCTTGTTGAATTTATCCCTTTTATGAGAGTCTCTTTTTATTCTACACTTCTGGAAAGGACTGTATATGTTTTGTAGAAAGATCTAGATATTTTTGTAACTCTTTTACACATGTCAGCCACAGTGATACTGTATTATGTTGTTCCTGTTTTTTCTTTAAACTTTTTTAGAGCCAGGATCTTGCTATCATTACTTAGGCTGGAATGTAGTGGCTGTTTGGAAACACAGTCATGGCACACTACAGCTTCAAACTCTTGGGCTTGAGTGATCCTCCTGCCTCAGCCTCCCAAATAGCTGGGACTATAGGCACACTCCCCTATGCTTAGCTTATCTCTGTTTTTCTCTTCCATGGAACTCTGTTGCTTTTCTCCATGTATTTATAAATTAATTAAAACTTCATATTTGATCAGTATCTGTCTCTCACTAGACTCTAGGTGCTAAGAGAGGTTGCTCTTTTTTCTACTGTTCCTAACACAGTACTTGGCATGGGCAGTTGCCATTGATTCACTGGCTAAAATGTGACTAAGGAACTGTTTTGCCTTTTTCTACTTTATTTTACATATTTCCTATGAAGAAAACATTTCAATCTCTTTTTAAGGCAGAACTCTTTCTCACTTAAGGAGGGAATCTGACCACATTGACAAAGAACAAATTGTACAAGGTGGTTTACAGTGCATGTGTAAATAATTTATAAATTAAAATGGTTTTTTTGTTGTTAATTCTTTAAGTCAGATATTTACATTGTCTAATTCTCATTGATCTGATTTGATTTTTCTCTTTGGTGGTATAATTGAACTTCTCTTCTTCATTGCTGAGAAGACAAAAGAGGTAGGTGTCTGCATGAACTCATTCTCATGCTAATAAAGACATATCAGAATCTGGGTAATTTATAAAGAAAAGAGTCTTAATTGACTCACAGTTCAGCTTGACTGGAGAGGACACAGGAAAGTTACAGTCATGGCAAAAGTGGGAGGAACAAACACATTCTCCTGGTGGTAGCAAGGAGAAGTGCCAAGCAAAAGGGGGGAAAGCCCCTTATACAACCATCGGATCTGGTGAGAACTAATTCACTGTCATGAGAATGGGATGAGGGAAACTGCCCCCATATTCAATTCCCTCCCACCAGGTCCCTCCAGTGACACTTGAAGATTATGAGAACTGTGATTTAAGATGAGATTTGGGTGGAGACATGGCCAATCCCTATCAGTGTTGTTAGAGCGTGGTTTTATTGCTGGCTTCATATGTGACTTTGGGCAAGACATAAGCTTTGAGCCTAAGCCTCATCAGTTGTAAAACAGGGAAAAACTCATTTGGCTGTTTTGTTTCTCCACAGAATGTTGTGAGGATAAAACAAAGTAATTAAATATAAATTTTCTTTTGGTAACAGTATTGGATAAGTATATGTTTGTATGCATATGCACACATACATAATTATTTCTTTTGTTCTGGCTATGCCATTTTTTTTCCTTTGGAGATAGAATCTCATTCTGTTGCCAGGCTGGAGTACAGTGGCATGATATTGGCTCACTGAAACCTCTGCCACCTGGGTTAAAGCAACTGTCCTGCCTCAGCCTCCTGGTAGCTGGGACTACAGGCGCACACTACCACATCCAGCTAATTTTTGTATTTTTAGTAGAGATGGAGGTTCACCATGTTGGCCAGGATGATCTCAATCTCTTGGCCTCGTGATCCACCCACCTCAGCTTCCCAAAGTGCTGGGATCAGCAGCCACCAAATTTTAATATAGTATATAATATTTGAATGACTCCATAAAAATGATCAAAAATAATGATGGCAACTATTTAGTAGTACTTTTAAGTGGCCAAGTGTTGAGTTAAATGCATATGTTTTCTTATTTAATTCTCCCAAAAATACGTTAATGACCTTTTCCATTCCTACTTTCACCCCGCCACTCTCACTTGAACCCATTCCACTGAATAAGGCATTTGTACCCATGACTTCACTGAATCTTTTCCTCTTGGGGTCACTGTTGGCTTCTATGTTGCCATTGTCAGTGGTTCATTATGCCTTCATCTCACTCAGCCCTTCTGAAACGTATGACAGTCGGTTCTTCTCTCTCCATGCACTTTATTCACTCAGCTCTAGGACACTGCCATCCCATGGTTTTCCTGCATTGTTCTCATCTTCTTGACCTCTCAATATTGGAGACTCACAGAGCTCAGATCCTGGCCCTCTTTTCTTTTCTATTTTGACATATTCCTATAGGGATCTCACTCAGTCCTTATAAATTAAATACATTTCATTCTCCGATAATGCCCAATTAAGATTCATTTTTGACCTCTTTCTTGAATATATACCATATTCAATGGTCCACAATATTTATCAAATTAGAGCTATCTCTAACTAAACTTTTATAGTTCTTTTTATTTTTACTTATTCCTAACTCAGTCTTCCCCATTTCAGTAAATGGCACTGCCATTTACCCAGTTACTTAGGCCTGAAACTTTAGACTCATTCATATTTCTCACAACTCACAATCTATCAAAGGTTATATTGGGTCTACTTTAAATTCATCATGAATCTAACCACTTTTAGCTACTTCCAAGTGTCATCTTCCCCTTTTAAGTCACCAACATCACTTACCTACCCTATTGGGACTGCCTTTACCTGATCATCCTGTATCCACTCCTGGTTCCTGAGGGTTTGTTCTCCACATAGGAGCCAAAGTGATCATTTCAAAACACAATTGGATCATAATACTCCCCTGCTCAAAAGTGTGCAATGACTTCACATCACAGTTGGAATACAATCCAAAATCCTACTGTGGCATATAAATTTCTCTGAGTTACCTGGGCTACATTTTATTTGTTTATTTATTAATTTTTTTAAATGGAGTCTCGCTCTGCCACCCAGGCTGGAGTGCAGTGGCATGATGTTGGCTCACTGCAACCTATGCCTCCCAGTTCAAGCAATTCTCCCACCACAACCTCCTGAGTAGCTGGGACTACAGTCACCTGCCACCATGCCCAGCTAGTTTTTGTATTTCTAGTAGAAATGGGGTTTCACCATGTTAGACAGGCTGGTCTCGAATTCCTGACCTCAAGTGATCCACATAGGCTACCTTTTAAATTTAACTCATAAGTCAGTGAGCCTTACTGATTTCCTTGCTTTTTCTCAAATTCAGCAGAATATTCCTGCCAGGAGGTCTCTTATTTGCTCTTCCCTGTGCTTGAAATTCTCTTTCTCAAATATTCACATGGATCACCATCCCCTATTCTTCATCTCTCAACTCAAACAGTACCTCCTAAGAGGACTCACCAGCCCTAGTCTTGTCTGATCATCATTAGCTTATCTAGAATTCTTTTCTTTGGAATCGTTATTATAATCTGAGATTATATTTCATTGCAATCTTTGTATTAAAGCTGTATGAGGGTAGTTCAGTCAGATCCTGACTGTCTAGAACAGCACTCAGCATATGGTCATGTACATTTTATTTTAAAAATTTACCTTTGGGTAACCCTCTGTGATCAGTCTAATTTTCCATCTTTTATAGGCAAGGTAGCTGAGACTCAGGTAGTAAAGTCACTTTGTCAAGATCACACAGTAAATGATACAGCCTGGATTCAAAGACTGATCTGACAATAAATCTTACACTTCTAGCTAGTATGTCATATTGCTTACCTTTTTATGCTATACTGTCTTCACTCAGTAATTTTGGAAATTAAGAATATTGAAATTTCCATAAACATTAAAATGTTTAGAATACTTAGATGTTTGCTCACATTTTCGCCTTTGTTGCCTTTCTAGGATTTTTTTTTTAAAGTTTCACACACATACATGCTCACCAGCTTCTTTCAGCTTCCCTGAAGGAAGATTTAAAGAGGAGAAAAACACCTTGCAAAACACATCAATACAAAAAGATTGTTAAAAACAATCAATGACACATCACTGACAATTGGATAAATGTACAGATCCTTAGAATTTCAGACTCTAAAGTGAAATTGAGATAGTCAGGTGACTTTTATCTCTTTGATCCCACATGCAAGTTTCTCATAGGCCTGAAGCAGTACTTAAACCATAACACTGTTACAAGAGGAGCTATTGACTTTGGCATTAGAGAAGACCTAATGCCAGTTATTGAAGTCAGGTTTTACTGATTTCTAACGCTGAAAATCTTTCTCTAAAAGTAGATCTAGCAATTGTCTTGTTAAAACACTTTAATAAATGCTAAATTGTCTCCTCTATTAACCATTACTTCATCATATCCATATTTAAGACAAAAATCTAAGTGCCAAAATCAAAACACATACATAGCTCACCAATTTTGTAGGAGTTGTGTCCATGTTTGAATAGAAGTTGAAAAGTTATCACTCTTGTGACAAGACTTGGACATTTGAAGATACCTGAATACATTTTCCTTCTCCACAAAACGTAACAGTTAGCATTTATGGAATTTTGTTCTACCGCTACTAGTTGTGTGACCTCATGTACATTACTTGTTTTTTGTGTGTCAGTTTCTGAGCCTGTAACCTGGGTATATGACTAGAACCAATCCCATGGGATTTTGATGAGGATTAGAAGAGAAAATGCTAAGCACTTGAATGTGATTACTTGGGAAATACCAGCTATTATAATGCATGTATGACAACTACACCAGTGTTTCTCATCCTTGGCACCACTGATATTTTGGGTTAGGTCATTCTTTATTGTGGGGTGCTATATTTATATGTAGGATATACTCCCACCAAAGCCGTGATAACCAAAATTGTCTCCAAACATTGCCAGATGCCTCCCTGGAAGGCAAAAACACCCCTTGTTGAGAGTCACTGTATAAGACTAATGCTTTGCATATGCTATCTCATTTAATTTTCACAAACAAGCTTGTGGAATAGGTAACAATGTTACTTAATTGTTGAAAATGAGGAAACTAGAACTTAAGATAGTTAAATATTTGCCCTAGACACACAGATAGTGAGAAATGGGCTGTTGGTAGAATCTGACTCTGCCTAACAACAAAGCTTTGCTGGTGTGTTAGTTGCATTGACCTCAATTAAGACTGTCTTTGGTAATGTCTCTAGTTGATGGGTTGTTCCCGTGCAAAACACCAAGTCAATATTTCACTCTCTTTCTACTAACCCCTGACTCAGGAGCCTATACTATCTTTATAGTCCATTCTCTTTCCTCCTTTCAACTTGTTGCTATTCTTCTGTTTTGCATTGAAGAACAGTATACCTTTCTATTAGGACCGATTCGTGAGTGAGGCTTCCCAATTCTCATAAAATATCGATTGCACTCTCAGCTTGACATTAAGCAAAAGTTTCTACCCTTAACTGACAATAGATACAATCTGTACCTCTGATATTTTTCACGAAGAATAACATTTAACTGACTTTTGCATAACATTTATTACAAGGCTTTCTCTTGCTTAGAAATTAAGGAGATCAGTGACAGTGGCTTATGCCTACAATCCCAACATTTTGGGAAGCGGAGGCAGGAGGATTACTGGAGCCCTGGAGTTTGAAACTAGTCTGGCCAACATGATGAGATCTCATTGCTACAAAAAAGCAGCTGAATGTGGTGGTGTGTGCCTGTAGTCTGAGCTCCTAAGGAGGCTGAGGTGGGAGGATCACCTGAGTCCTGGAGGTCAAGGCTGCAGTGAGCTGCGATTGTATCACTTTTCTCCTGTCTGAGTGACAGTGAGAACCTGTGTTGGAAAAAAAAAAAAAGAAAGGAAAGAAGGAAGGAAAGGAAGGAAAGAAAGAAAAGAAAAGAAGAAAGAAAAAGGAAGGAAGGAAGAAATAGAAAAAGGAAGGAAGGAAGAAATAGAAAGAGAAAGAAAAGAAAGAAAAAGAAACGAAGGATAGCTCCTAAATAACGTGAATATACTGACTTATCTTTTCTAGACTTTTCTTAATCTCAGGTTTCTAAATTCTATATTTTAAAATTTATTTTTTAATTGACAAATACAAATTATATATAGATAGTATACCACATATTTTGAAATGTGTGTACAACAATGGCAGATTTGTATTCAGATAGAAGGAGATGGAGAGAGAGATTAGGTATATTTTTCCATCTTTATCTTAACTGGACCTTTCTGATGCATTTTTCACTTTGTGGCTTTCATAATATTAACATGATGTGGCTTCTATATCTGATGAACTCCTTCCGTTTCCTACTTCTTTTCTTTTGGCAATCTCTGAAATAATTGTGCCCCAGGGTTGTGTCCTCAATCCACAGCTCATCTCACTTTCTGTATTCTTTTAGCAATGTTGTTCAGCCTTATGGTTTCAGACACCATTATTTACCAGTGGATTTCAAGTCTGTATCTTTAGGCTATGCTCTGAGCTTAAAACTCATGTGTTCAGTTACCAAGTAAGCATCTCTAAGGAATGTTTCACAGTCACTTCTGTTTCAACAGGCTCCCCAATGTGAGCTTCATTTCCTCAGGTGGTGGCACCACCATCTACCCAGTTGCTTAAACTAGAGTTTGTGCATCATGTAGAATTTTGCAGTTACTTGCCTCTTCATGCTCAATCACCAAGTTCTAATAACACTACTTCCTAAAGATTCCTTCAGTTCATCTTTTCTCTGCATATTTACTGTCACTGTCATTACCTCTCATCAGAACTACTGCCATCACCACCCCAAACATTATTAAGATAGGATAATGTCCAAGTTGTTATCAATGACTACCCAGCCTTTCTTGGTGTGGCCTCCACCGTTCCATTACTCTTTGTTCCCACTACTTGTCTTATAGTGAACACTCAGGCAACACTGAACTGGTTTTATTCTCTCTACCTTCCAGACTGATTTGCACTTCTCTGCCTTTGCCCAGCTGCTCCCTTTGTATGGAATGCCCTTTCCCAATTATTTTATTTCAGAAAATGTTTGGTAAACCCTACTGTTCTCTCCCCAGTACCTCTCTTCCATAATCTCTACTTTGATATACCTTCTGCATATATGCAGCCAACTCTTTGGGGCAAAGCCATAGCAAATACTTCATAAATGTTTGTTGAGTGAATGACTATGTCAGCTATCTCACTGGTTTGGTAGCAATCCACTTCACTAAACGTGCTTTTTAAAATAATTATCTCAATGCAGCTAAAATTTTATGTGATTTACAGATAAGGTTTAGCTTAGACTCATAAATTAAGTAGAAGACTGTGACTTTTATTCATCTAACCACCTTCAGTAAAGTATCAGATTTTCCTTTGCTTGTGGCAGAGATCCTGGCTTATCAAACTAGATGTTGGTATAAAGCTCTTATGCAGTAGGAAGAAATGTGTGGACAGTGGAATTAGATTCTGAGTAGGAAAGCTGGATATTTGAGTCAGTATTTTTGTTCAAATTTCTTGGCTCCAACATACAGCCCTTGAAGCTATACCTCTCAGCATTACCTCTGGGAGAAGAATGGGGAAAATTCCAACAACAAATACAGGTAAGTAGGTTAAATTTTTTTATATTAAACACAGTATTTTTTAAATCATGGGTATAAAAATATAAAGTGGCAAAACTTTATATTTGCCACTTTATATATGCTTTCAACTCTACACACGTAGAGAATAGTTTTTTTATATTAAAAATGTATTTCTGGAAGAAGATCCAAGATGGCTCTTTAGGAGCAGCTCAGGATTGCAGCTCCCAGTGAAAGCACAGAGGGTGAGTGGATGCCGCATTTCCAGACAGATCTTTATTGCCCACGGACCAGGAGATTACCAGGCGGAGAAGCCCCACAGGTTGCCAGCGTGGCTGTTTTGGCTGGCGCGGCTGTTTCAGCCAGTGTGGCAGTTTTGCCAGCGCCCTGGCATGGCAGCTCTCCATACAAAATACACTGGTCTGGTTGCGCTTTTAAGCTGGCAATTGGAGTTTCAAGAAGGCAGATTCACCCATTCATCTGATTAAATAGGTCTGAAACAGGGAGCCAGGCCAGGAGATTCCCAGGCAGCGCAGTTGTTTCAGCCAGTGCAGTGGGTCACCACATGGGAAATCACGCAGATCCTGGCACCCTTTCAGCAGGTGACTGGAACACCTGGGAGAGATTCAACCATTAACTTAAAAAAAACGGCTCTGAGACAGGGAGCCAGGTGATCAGGCTCAGCGGGTCCCACCCCCACAAAAACAAACAAACAAACAACAGCAATTGGAAATGCTCAGGTTTGAGAGTTTCATGGCAAGTACAGCTGAACCCAGGACAGTGCAGCTCAGTGGGGGAGGGGCATCCACCATTACCGAGGCACTCCACCCCTACGGAGGTAGTCCGCCATTGCTGAGGCAGTCTGCCGTTACCGAGGCAACCCACCATAACAGAGAGAGTCTACCATTACAGAGGTGGGCCACCATTGCCGAGGCAGTTCTAACCATCCCATATAAATAGGACTGCAGGGAAGTTCACAGGGAAGCAGGGCAGAGCCCACAGGAGCTCAAGAAAGCCTCTGCAGGCAGACAGTGACTAGGCTGCCTCCTTGCTGGGCAGGACAGCCCTGAAAAAAAAAAAAACAAGGCAGCAGCACAAAGGATACTCATAAATAAAGCCCTAACTTCCTGGGACAGAGCACCTGGGGAAAAAATGGGATTTTATGAGTTCTGCTGCAGCAGACTTAAACGTACCTGCCTAGCAGCTCTGAATGAACAATGGAGCTCACAGCTCAGCACTTGAGCTCCTATAAAGAATGGACTGTCTCCTCAAGCAGCTCCCTGACCCCCATATATCCAAAGAGTCACCTCACGAAGGACTGATCAGACTGACATTTGGCGGGCATCATTCTGGGACAAAGATAGCAGAAGAAACTGGTAGCAACCCTTACTGTTCTGCAGCTGTTGTAGGCGATCCCCAGGCAAGCAGGGCCTGGAGTGGACCTCAGCAGTCCTACAGCAGAGGGGCCAGACTGTTAGAAGGAAAACTAAGAAACAGAAATAACTTCATCATCAACAATCTGGATGTCCACTCAGAAACCCAATCTGAAAACCAGCAACTATACAGATGACAGGTGGATAAATATACAAAGATGGGAAGAAACCAGTGCAAAAAGGAGGAAAACACCTGAAACCAGAATACCTCTCCTCCTACAAGGGATCACAACTCCTCACCAGCAAGGGGACAAAGCTGGATGGAGAATGAGTGTGATGAAATGACAGAATCAGACTTCAAAAGGTGGGTAATGAGAAACTTCCATGAGCTAAAAGAACATGTTCTAACTCAATGCAAAGAAACTAAGAACCTTCAAAAAAGATTTGATGAAATGATAAGAATGAACAACTTAGAGAGGAATATGAGTGAATTGATGGAGCTGAAAAACACAACACGAGAACTTCATGAAGCATGCACAAGCTTCAACAGCTGAACTGACCAAGCAGAAGAAAGGATATCAGAGGTCAAAGATCAACTCAATGAAATAAAATGAGAAGGCAAGATTAGAGAAAAAAGCGCAAAAAGGAACGAACAAAGTCTCCAAGAAATGTGGGACTATGTGAAGAGACCTAATCTACATTTGATAGGTGTACCTGAATGTGACGAAGAGAATGAATCCAAGCTGAAAAATACTCTTCAGGATATTATCCAGGAAAACTTCCCCAACCTAGCAAGGCAGGCCAATATTCAAGTCCAGGAAATACAGAGAACACCACAAAGTATTCCTCAAGAAGAGCAATCCCAAGACACATAATTGTCAGTTTCACCAGGGTGGAAATGAAGAAGAAAATGCTAAGGGCAGCCAGATAGAAAGGTCAGGTTACCCACAAAGGGAAGAGCATCAGACTCATAGCAGATCTCTTGTCAGAAACCCTACAAGCCAGAAGAGAGTGGGGGCCAATATTCAACATTCTTAAAAAAAAGAACTTTCAACCCAGAATTTCATATCCAACCAAACTAAGCTTCATAAGTGAAGGAAAAATAAAAATCCTTTGCAAACAAGCAAGTACTCAATGATTTTGTCACCACCAGGTCTGCTTTGCAAGAGCTCCTGAAAGAGGCACTACACATAGAAAGGAACAACCAGTACCAGCCACTCCAAAAACATACCAAATGGTAAAGAGCATCAACAAAATGAATAATCTGCATCAACTAATGGGCAAAACAGCCAGCTAGCATCAAAATGGCAGGATCACATTCACACATAACAATATTAACCCTAAATGTAAATGGGCTAAATGCACCAATCAAAAGACACAGACTGGCAAATTGGATAAAAAGCCGAAACCCATTGGTATGCTGTATCCAGGATATGTGCAAAGATACACAAAGAAAATAAAGGGAGGAAGGAAGATTTACCAAGAGAATGGAGAGCAAAAAAAAGCAGGAGTTACCCACATCAATTCTCATCTCTGATAAAATAGACTTTAAAGCAACAAAGATCAAAAGAGACAAAGAAGGACATTACATAATGGTAAAAGGATCGATACAACAAGAAGAGCTAATGATCCTAAATATATACAGACCCAATACAGGCGCACCCAGATACATAAAGCAAGTTCTTAATGACTTACAAAGAGACTTAGACTCCCACACAATAATAGTGGGTGACTTTAACACTCCGCTGTCAATATTAGACAGATCAACCAGACAGAAAATTAACAAGGATATCCGGGACTTGAACTCAGACCTGGAACATGCAATCCTGATAGACATTTACAGAACTCTCCACAGCAAATCCACAGAATATACATTCTTCTCAGCACCACATCACACCTACTCTAAAATTGATCACATAATTGGAAGTAAATCACTCCTTAGCAAATGCAGAAGAATAGAAATCATAACAAACAGTCTCTCAGACAACAGTGCAATCAAGTTAGAACTCAGAATTCAGAAACTAACTCAGAACCACAC